TATTATTATTATTATTTTTATTTTTAATAAAATGCTGAAGTGGTAGGTAGATGCAAGATAAAGGTAGAAAACATAGTTTAGTGCTGTAAGAAGGCAAATGTAGATGATCAGATGATCAGGTGTGTGCCTATGGACTAAGTATTAATCCAGGCTAGACAAGGGCAGCAAGACATCCACGGATGCAGAAGATTTCTCTCAAAGCAGGGGGGGTGAGGTTCTGAGCCTCACCTCTGTTGATCCCCAAATTCTCACCTGATGGCCCCCCTGCGACTGTGCCTGTCTTAGGTTGTTCCTCCCTTGAGGAATCTTACCCGTCTCTGGCTAACCAGTCATCTTCCGGGGCCATACAGGGAAATGTAAAGTTGGTAAGTGAGAGAGAAGCCATATTGTTTGCAAAGGTTAGCTTTTAACAAGAATTTCTAATTTTTAGTAACCCTAATTTCCAGTAAAAACTAGGAAGCAGGCAATTGTGAACTGTCTGCACATCCTAACATTCTGTAAATTTATACATACACTACTTCACAATTTCTAGAGACATATGCTTCCTCTTAGTACAATTTTTCAGCATGGCAAAAGACATGTTTGCTAACAGAACCAAATACTTTTTGTCTCCCTACAGAATTTAAGAAGCCAAAGCAGATAAATTTATGTTCATCAATTAATGTTTCAGTATTTTATTTGAAAATGACCTGAATACTTAATGAATATCCACTATTTAACTTAATTTAGTATAGCTTTAAGGTTTAAAGTTACTAACAAGACTTGGAAACTATTTTTAAGTAGATATATTATAAAACGGTTACTGTTGAAAAGTTCATGTATAAACTTTAACCCTACTTACAGTAACTTACTTGTTTGTAACAGTTATGCCTGGATTGCTCATGAAAATTTCATGGTGACAAAGCCAGTCACCATTTTACCTTACTTTAATTGTTGACACATCAGGCAAGTATGCAAAATACCACAACAGCAAAGAACCTAAAAAGTTAAACATGATTCCCTACCTACTCTTTTCTTTTTTTTACTGTTGTACTTTCTATACACCCAGTAATTCATGTCAATTATACATTTTGTTCTTAGGTTGGATTTATATTTTCATAACCTTAAATATCAAATAGATATAACATAAGCTTATTTAACTTATATGTCTAGGTAGGAAAAAAAAACTGTATGTCTGCATTATATTTAATGCTGACAACTGAAAACATACTTGTTTCTATTTTACCAACATTCTTAAAAGTAGCTTTATTTACCAAAGTTTATCCCAGATCACCTGAACTTAAAAATAGTCTGAGTTATTCCCACACTACAAAGAGTTTTAGGAATACTTAATTTATATAAGCATTCATCTCTAAGCCAATTTAAATAAAACCCCTTTAAGGGATTTTATAAATTAACTCAGTCATACTTTGCAGAGAGAGAAAAATATCATACATATGCATGGGAATATACCAAAGGCAAACAAAAATTTTACAGCTTTCATTCTAAAATTTTAGCCATGTCAGTAAAACAAACTCACTGGCTTTTAATCCACTTTATATTTTTATCTGAATGTGTTTATAGCAAATGAGATAAGTTGAGGTTACCTAGTTGATATGAGGGCTTCTTACCAATATTTTTGAAGGTTTTCAAGATTTTCATTTGCCTTGATATGTAAACTACATTTTAGAAGTGACTGAGATTATTTAGTGTTATCTGCATGTCTCCAAAGCTCATCTGAGTGAGTAAAATATGTCATCAATTTCCAATTAGTCTTTTCCTTTTCCTCAGATAGTTGTTTTTGAGAGACCCTGAGTTTCCAAGACCAGAAGGGGTTCAAGGTCTGGTAGGGATGGATAGAAGAATGGAAAAGACAGAGGCTTGAAGGGGGGCACATCAAAAGATTCAAGAGAACTGAAAGGAAGATCAAAGGTAGCAAAAGGAGGGAGGAGCAGAAGCAATGGGAAGAAAGAGATCTTAGAGGAACCAGTTTGAGATCTGAGGTTTCCCACAAAAGCTAATAAAGTTCCAAATCATCTTCAGCAAAACTGTGCCAACAAGAAGGGAAGTTGACAGAGCTGGTAGAACATATAGTCAATGGGAGTTCAAGAAGGGAGTTCCAGTTGACTTGGGAGTTCCCATGGGAGGACAGGATCATAAAACAGCGTGGGCTAAAAAAAAAAAAGGCTCTTATCAAGCCCTGAATATCAGTTTCCAATCAGGTCATATAGAGCTTTTAAAATATATGTTGGATATCTTATAAGGTTTAAGACAGGACAAACAATAAATATTCCTGGGAGTATTGAACTCTTTTTCTTTTCTAAACCAAAGATATACCTATGTCAAATGACTCAAAACCAATAAGCTTTTACAATGTAAAACCAACAAGCCTTTTAAGGCTCAACCACGCACACAAGATTCTTCCCCACAGAGGGTGCAGAAGACAGTGTCTTCCCGAGATTCATAGCCACTCCCAATGCCAGCGAAAGGCAAAAAAGACCTAGACCACTCTCCCTGAGAGGTGGCAACAGTGGGCAGAATGTTGGCTGAAAATGGGATGCAACCCACATTTCTGTTCAGCCACGTTCTCAGGGCCCCCATCAGACAGTAGGGTATCCACACACACAGATCCAATAACTTGCATGTTGCAGCAGGCAGAAGGCCAAGCCAAGCTTTCAGGACACAAAATAAGACATACAGGAAAATACTAGCTGTCCCTGGAGGGAAAGGATCAATAGTCAGTGGCTACCCAAAATCAAACTCACAAGAGTCACAACTTAAAGATCTAATTTTTACAATTGTTTTTCTCCTGGATTCTCAATTTGGAAGAGAAGAGACTAAGAGAGAGTTTTACCTTCCTCCTTTGACCAGGCACTACACACAGAGATCTGGGAGAGTCACCCAGTAAGAATTCTTACCTTTCATTGACCTCTGTCCATTTTCCCAAAGTCCCACCTGTAGGCTCTGGAGCAAGCGGGGTGTCCCAGCCATCCCTTCATGGTCACTGGAAACTGTAGGGGAGGAAAAATATCTTTTCCCTCTACCCTTCTAAGCTCTTGGCCAGGTCTCTGTAACAAAAGACAGATAAACAAGAGAAAAGCATACAGATTTATTTAATGTACATTTTACATGACACAGGAGACTTCATAAGGAAATGAAAACCAAGGAAATGGTTAAACCTGGGTGTTGTTATATTAGGTTTGACAAAGAGTAGATATAATGGAAAATGTGATAAAATAAAAAGGATTATGAACTAAGAACAGGAACCTTAGCAAGGACTATTCCTCCAGATTCTTCTCGGTCTTCTTCCTTCCTTCAGATAAAGATGATCCCTTCCTCTGGGTATAGGGAATGCACCTTTCACATGAGGGTCTTAGGGCCTGCTTCAGGGAAAAGCCAAAGAGTCCTCTTCCTGCCTGTACCTGTCACTTCTCAAATTCTTTCAGCTTAATATATTCAATATGCCAAGGTGCTATATTTTAGGCTAACATATCCTGAACCCCGTCATTCTTTTCCAAAGTTTATTTCTTATGATTCTCAATGAAAGACTTTTGCCAACTAATAGGAATAGACATGGTAGACTGAATTAAATCAAGTCTTCTCCCTACCCCCTAGGTTCAATGCAAAACACTACAGTCAAGCACAAGGACAACGTGGATTTCTATTTCTGGCAATGCAGAACCAGTGACTGAAGGTCACCTAAAAATACTGAATTAAATATTTTAAAAATCTTTTTAAAATGTATGCAGAGCTAGCTATAAAGTAAGAGAGTTGCTCCAATGGCAGAATAATAAGAAAGCAAGTCTAGAGAGGTGGGTTAGCACTGAAGCCAGCATTCCCCAGGGGCATCTGCACGGTCCTAGTGGCAATGACCTTGATGGGAAGAAGCAGAGCTACAGGAAATGGGGTAACAAGAGGCAAAATGCAAGGGCCTGTGCAGGATAGAGATCCAGAGTAGAAACACCCCCCCCCCACCAGGTGGATAAATCAAACAGCAATTCATCTTACAGCTCAGATGCATGAAGGAATGGCGAGAGGAGGGGGAAAAAAAGGATAAATGCAAAGACAGGATTTACATTTAGACTGAAGTATTATATATCTTAACATTTCTTAGGGTAAAAGACAAGAAATAGAAAACTTTCAAAAGAGTCAGTCAAAGGGTAAAAATGAAATGAGAAAATAAGAAAATCCAAAAGAAGACAAAGTATTCACTATGATAGAACTCAAGCCAAAGCAAGATATTCCTGGGTTCAAATCGTAGCTCTACATGTATTAATTTCAATCACAGACAAGTCATCCACTTTTTAAATTTCAGTTTCTTTGTCTTTTAAAAAGGAGAAAATAATACATAGTTTTTAGCCTAGGATCTGAGCTAACATGCAAGCATGCAATATCTAGCACAGTGCCTGGCACAAAGATGCAGATACCCTCTCCCTTCCCCCTCCATGTAACTATAATCATTCACAGCACAAAGGGCACTGGGTTGGAAACCAGATCTGCCTTCTGATCCTGGTTCTTCTACTCACTGTCTTACCTGGGCAAATCTTTTCACCTTTCTGGGACCAGTCTCTCAAGCATAGATTAGGGGAATTAGATTAAATAAGGTCAAAAATAACTCTCTATGACTAAGATCTAAGAATTTTTAAGGCAAAAAAGTTAGCAAAAGCGTTAACTTTTAAAAACAGGAAAATTGTAGTAAAATCTTTAATACACATAACATAAAAAAACATGAAAAAAGAATAATTTTTAAATTTCAAGGGGTGACAAAGTTAATTCAATAGTCCATTTCTACTCTTCATTTGACTTATGAATGAAAGCACAGGTAATCCCTTAAAGACTATTGGGCAACAAATACAGACACCCTCTTATTTTAATAATCACTATGTATTATTTTATATACCACGTATTTGTTTAAATACCAAACGTGTTTTAAACACTAACTGTGATAGTCTTTTGTATCAACTTGGTTAGGTTACAGCACCCAGTTATTTAATCAAACATTAATCTCAGTGTTGCAGTAAAGGTGTTTTGTAGACGTGGTTAATATCTATAATTGATTGATTCTAAGAAAGAAGATGACCCTTAACTGTGTCGGTAGGACACATCTAATCAGCTGTAGGCCTTAACAACAAAAATTGAGGTTTTCCAGAGAGAAATTCTTCCTCAAGACTCCAGTATCGACTCCTGCCAGACCTTCCAACCTACCAGCTTGCTCTACAAATTTTGTACATGCCAATCCCCACAATTTCATGAGCCAATTCTTTAAAATACATCTCTTTAAACACACACGCACACACACAGACATAACAACACTGGTTCTGTTTCTCTGGAAAACCCCAACACACTAACACACTGAAAAACTCAAATGGCATTTTTTTTTTAAGTAAGGATTAACAATGTGTTTCTTGTAACCTCTTTACAATTGAAGTATTTTAAATAACTGCTCAGAAGGTTATTTTGTAGGTTAGTACTTCCTACACAATGCCAACAAATTAGCAATGCTGTTATCTCACTGGGGTTTCCTTTTTTAAAATATGTAGGAGGAGAAAGAAGAGTGATCTATCTTACATGGAATTTTTAAGCTCCAAAACTGATTTCAGAAGATTCTGAGATGCAATTTTTTTCTCATTGTCACAGCTACCAGTTAGATGACTCACTGCAAGTAAAGTCACCTGCGCGCCCTGCGATGCTAGGGACAGCTCTACACAGCAAAGGATTATCCTGCATCCTACATGTTTGAATATTCCACCAGAAATACAGGTGGGTAAAAACCCTACTTAAATTTCTAAGCCTTAACATAGGAACACAAATTAACTTTTTCACACTTTTAGTAATCAGTAAATCCTCCCAAAATGTAACTGCTTTGAAAGACAAGGGAAGACTGTACCTAACTCTTCTCTGAATTTACCAAGTCATTCACCATTTTGGAAAATTGCCTCACTGACAGCAATATAATTCAGTGTATGTAAGTACAACTTACTACATAAGTCTGCATTTGAAGCTGTCTCATTCACAGTAATTCTAGATACAGCTACAAAGAGTTGACCACTTAGTGACTGCAATGGGGTATGGGAGGGAGGGGACTTGATAATATGGGTGAATGTAGTAACCACATTGTTTTTCATGTGAAACCTTTATAAGAATGTATATCAATGATACCTTAAAAAAAAAAAGAGTTGACCACTTGGTATGTGTACAGCATACACATATAAAAAATGTATTTTTTAATGATGTCATTTTTATTTCTCCTTTATGTTACAAAACATTATGTTCATTTCTTTGCAGTCAGGTTTGTAAGTAATCACAGCATATCTATGAGTTCATTTCAGGATTGTAAAGGAGGAATTATAAACTATTTGTTTTAAAAATAGTGTTGGATATGACAGATTAAAAATCACTGATCTAAACCACAGACACCTCTTTGGCCCCACACAGACACCTGTGTTGCTCACACTCTTGAAACAAATGTAATGCATTTCTACAGTTTGAACACAACTTTTGAAGCCATTTTACAGATAAAGACTGCATCTCACAATGTAGATGCAGTTTCCTCCTTTCCTCTGTGATGTAATACAAGAAATGGCTGGGAAACCAAGGGCTTAGGACCTCTAGGTCCTCCAGCACATTGCATCTGTCTCTGCAGTTACTTCCACCTGATTGTGAGGAACTGGCAGTAGGTAACTAAAGAACCTAGTCGTCACTGAGGATTCTATCCTGAGTGAGTCCACTTCTGCATTAAATTATGCTATTGAGCTCTGTCCCTTGCTTTACACAGAGCAAGCTCTAGAGCAGCACCCAACACAACAGTGTCCCACAGAACACTGAGAGGGCAGAAATGTCCTTTATCTACACCATCTAATGTGGTAATTACCACATGTGGCATCTGAGCACTTGAAATGTGGCTTAGTGACTTAAGAACTAACTTTTTAATTTGATTTAATTTTAATTAGAATAGCCACATATGGGTTGCCATGGGGAATGGGGCAGGAGAAATAGATGAAGGGTCTAAAGGGGGACAAACTTAATATGTCACCAATAATGGTCATCCTCCCCCACCTGACCATATCTTTTATCCAACAGTTTTTCTCTTTAGGATCTCAAATTAAAAACAACAACTACAACTAATAACAACAATGAAGAGAAAGGGCAATCAATGTATTTTCTGTAGTATTTGCAATTATGAGGTTTATCAATCATATCATTTTAATAGAAAAGTTCATGGGTAATTTAATGGGACGCCTCACTCTAAGCAAAATTGAGTCCATTTACTTAATCTGACCAATTATCATTTAGTATTAAAATTGTTTTTCAAACAACAATAACGTAAACAAGTGGTTCACAGCCATAACTACATGTCTGAAGACTGGACAATCTGCCAGAATGTACGTGATCAGACTCAGCAGAATGGACCAGGTTCCACTAACAGGACTGCAGTCCTTTTGGCTTCTCTGATCCCCTGAGTCACTTTGAAGCCCAGGTCAACTTAGTCACTATGACAGAAATGGTCTCACTGAGCAGAAGGAAAAGGACAGAAAGTAATACTAAAAGAAGGGGTCAACTATGCCTCAGCCAGTCTTGCTGAGGGCCACACCTATATTATAGGCAACACAGCAACTGGATGGTAGGTCAGCAGACCAACACTCTGCTTTGTATCTCCCTGTCCAAAAGCTGTATTCCTCAGCTTATTAATAAGTTCTCCTGATTCTATCAAATGGTATAGGAGGCTTTCTAACTAGCGTATGCTAACTGAGAATGGACTTTAATAATGAAACTCATAATCTGAGAGCAAAAAACCAAAAAACTCAATGTAAGAAATTAGTATTACAAACTAGTGATTAAGGAAAACAGAAAGTTTAAGTGTGTACATATGAAGACAGGGTTTTTGTTATTGCTTTTTTAATAGTTCTTCCAATGCACGGATACATATTTCACTGTAGCAGAAATAAAAATAGTAAATCTGTAAGAATAACTAGCAGTTTGCTGCACCCTAATAAAAAATTGCAGCTATTGGTTAAATGGCAAAATACATCTAAATCCTAAATAACACATAAACTTATCTATAAAAAGCTAAGAAATGTACTCAGCAATCAGAACAAAGAATAAAAATTGCAAAGATTATCCAGAACACAATCACATTTCAAACATACAATTCAGATGCATAACTAGAGACTTCCTACAGAAGGCTGGGCTCCTGCATTTCAACAACCAGCACTTCCTCTACAGAACTTAGTCTCAAGACCTACTTTGTCAAGTGCTCTATCTCCCAACAACCAAGAGAAAAGAGGGAAGAACACATTTTGAAACCAAGAGTGTGTGGAAAAATCAGAACAAGCCTTATCAGAAAAACAATGCTGTCTAATTTAAAGAAATGAGTTTAATACATATACAAAAATCTACAAACACTTAATAACTGTAAAGATCAAAATCACCTTTTCATTTTCTGATTTGAAAAATTATAAAATATGCTCATTTACATATGAAAGGGTTTTGGAGGGCAGTTTTCCTCTTGTAAATATCAGCTGTGCCCCAACCATCAGGAAATTATAACTATCTAACTCAAGCCCAGATTTTCAAGGCCATCAAGAGTTATGAGTTAATACTTAATAATATTGTACATTTGAAATTTGGAAGAGAGATCTTAAGTCTTCTTGCCACACACAAATAAAAAAAAAAAAGAGGAAGGAAGAAAAAAATATTAAGTAGGTGAGTGAGAATCTGTTAGCCTGACGCAGTACTCATTTCACAATGTACATGTTTATCAAATCATACACCTTAAATATATACAATTTTTGTGAAGTATACCAAAGTATTCACAAAGTTGGGGAAAGGGGAAGAATTTATAGCCAGCAGTACACAAAGGCACCAATAAAGATAAAATGTTTACTTGAAGTAGTAGATGTCAGACACCAAATCAGATCTAAAATTTACCTATCCCAATACAGTTTTAGAAATAAAAACTTAAACGCTTGAAATCTGAAACAAGGAAAACAATCATCACTGTTACAGCTCTCTCCAGCTCCCTTAAAGTTTGCAGCAAAACTCCTGTCACTCACCATCTCTTGAAGCTAAAGGAGTCTTCCTAATAACACTGAAGTGAGACACTCTTTATGATATAGATTAGATGTACTTACTAATTGCATCTGATAAACATACATACAATGTAGACAATAACTAAAATTAGTGACTACTACCTCTGGTAATAAAACAAGCCCATCTACTATTCATTGTCCACTAGAAAAGCTAAATGTGCTAATGTGTATATAACAACATATCTTGGGATATCAATATTTTTTTAAACACCAACAGTGGCAAATATATTTTTTTTCCTTGTAGGAGAAGTAAGAAGTAACAGTAAATTCCTAGGAATGGGTAGTAACTGGCTGCACCCTAATGTAAACCTGCCCTTACTGGTTAGCCTGAAAAACTAAACCCCCAATAGGGTAACTCGTAATAAAGACGTGTTAGAAAGCAGGCAGAAAACAATGAACTGTAACTGCAAACATTGACAGCACTGGCTTTCCGTGTAATTACCACCGTAATCCTACAGGCATTTCGGAGTTCATTCCATGAAAAAGAAGTAAAATAACCTAAACTGCAGGGTTGAGAAGATCCCAAAAAGAAAAACTTTGGTGGGCGTGCTTGTATTAGAACTACTTTGAAGCACTACAGGCGTGACAGAGAAATCCTGCCTAAATTGGCTCTGGGTGCGAAGAGTTCAGCTTCTCCCTCGGTCCACCGGGGCAAGCACCGCGCGCCGCCAGCACTGACAGCGCGGCCCCGAGTTGGGCACCGGTCGGCCGGGAGTCGTACTGACCGGGCGGTCAAGTCGCCCTTCGCAGGGCCCCTCAGGGCGCGGACGCCGTTCTAGCGGCCCGGAAGCCAGCCGGGGCCACCTCGCGCCACCCTCGCGAGCAGCTGCCAAGCCCCTCGCCGGACACCTTCCCCCGGGACACCCCGGTGCCTCCCAGCCCTCCTGGCTGCCCGCACGGTTCCCGCGTCCCTCTCCCGCATCGAGGTCCCCTCCCTCAAGCCTGGGTCCCGCTTCTCCCTATGCTCGCGCGGGGAGTCCCGTCTCTCCCGTCCCTACCCGGTCTCCCCGTCCGGTGGCGTGGGGCGGCTAGCCGAGGGGCGGCCACCTTGGGACCCGGCGGCCACCGAGGGAACGCGCGCCCGGGACGCCCCAGCACCGATTCCGACCTACACCCCGGCTTCCGCCTCGCGCCGGAAGGCGTTTCCGCCGGGACCGGAAGTCCCGCCCCTGCCGGGTCTCGGGGGAGTGCAGACAGGCCCCCGAGGGGCACAGGTTGCCGGGGGCTCGCGCCGGGGACTGCGCGGCGGTGCTGGGACGCAGCGTGTGCAGGGCTCGCTTGGGCGTACGGCCCAGGCCGCCCTTCCCTGCGTCGTCCCATGGCGCGGGGCAGTCGGCCTGCCTGAGGCTGGACCGAGCTCTGATGCGCCGGCCCCAGGAGACGAGGCGTCTCAGCGCTGCGCTCGTCTTCCCAGCCCAGTGGAACGTCGCCAGCGCCAGGAGCAGGCGGTAATCACACCACAGGGCAGCACTGCCTCACTTCATGCAAATCTGTACCACCAGCTACAGATCGCTCAGTCGACCACACAGACGAAGGCTCTGGGCAGTGACGGCGCAGAGAACAGCACACCGCCGGCGCGCCCGCGGGAAGCCTCTGGAGCACGTGGACAGGTTCCCAGGAAGGAGCGTGAGCAGCGGGCTGTGGCCGTGCTGCCAGGACAGTGGGCTAGGGACCCGGGCTGAAAACGACGAGAGGTTAGGGCTCTTCAGTTGAGACCGAAATAAATGATGAGTAAGTTAAGGTCAGACAAGGTGAGGAAGGGAATGCAGAGTAGAAAGATGCCAGAAAGTGAGAGTTTGGCTTCATCCAGAAGCTGGAAGGAGGTACAGTCAGGTTAGCAAGGTCTTAGATCATACTGGCAAGAACAAACAGTAAGAGGACACAAGGCAAGATGGTGAAGACTTGCACCTTACGCTTAGAATTTAGACTCTAGACTCCATGAGACAGGGGATCAGGGGAATAAGGATAGTGAGTTACGAGGTCGACTAGAGTAGTTGACCTAGTCATCAAAGAAAAATAAGCACTTGAAAGATCATGAATAGAACATATTACCCTCGAGGGTGCTTTCTCCAATTGCAGTACCCAGAAGTAAAAGCAACGAATGAATACTACAACCCTATACAAGCAGGGTGACCAAGCCTCACAGCCCAGGTTGCCCCATTGGTCAATCACCAAACCAAGAGGCCAGCTGAAGCTTTAGGGAGCGTGGAAACTTCCATTCCAGTGATAGTAAAGAAGACTGTTGCCTCTTACTATTATTTTCCTGGATACCAAGAGAGTGTTTAATAAACACTCTCTTGCATATCAAGCCCCCTTGTCCTTTTTAAACAGAAATAGCATGATGCTTTTTCCTTCATTTCCTTTTCCTTTTACCAGCAAAAGGAAATGTTTCTGATACATGGAGATAAGATTTTGGTAGAAGGAAAGGAAAAATGGACATCATGTAGGAAGTCTGTAGAGGGCATGACATCACCTCTGGCTGGCGAGGACACGGTTTGGGTTCTCCCCCACTGGAAATATTACCAATCCTTTTGTGGTAGTACAGGAAATAACCGAATCATGTCTTTGTAAGAATGGGAAAAAGAGAGTGTGTATGTGTGTTATGATGTATGTGGTATGTGTATAGGGTGGGGGTGTTGAGATATATATGTGTATGTGTACTGTGCCACCAAGAAGTAGAACATCATAGGCACTCCATGAAATGTTTTCGTATAGCTCACCATGATTCCTCTTCTTGCAGGAATGGCCCTAATACACAGGGAAATCCCTTGAATGGCCATATAGGCATGTACTAGTTGCCATGCTCTAAGATGACCAACATCCTGATTTGCCCAGGGTTGAGGGGTATCTTAGGATGCTGTATTTTTTGTGCTTAAACTGGGATAGTCCTGGGAAAACTGGGAATAGCTGGTCACACTATCATGTCCTCTATGTAACAGATTAGTCCTAGAAGGACACATGCTAAACCAGGCCATTTGAACTCTTCCCCCCAGGAATCTTACATATGACATAGGGAAAACACAGAGAGGAGATGGCCATTAGAGCTGAGTCACATAAATGGCAGTGCCCCAAAGAAAAGATGTATTAAACCCTTTGCCAAGGACCCAGGACCTGCCCTGCTTCCTTTGCTTACAGAAGATGTCCCTGTGTGCTTCCAAAACCGTTTTGCTTGACTAGGCAAAGAAGGTGGTTGCTTCTGCTGCTTGCAACCAGAGTAATCTTAAGGAGTGTACCCTATCTCTTTCTTCCATAATCTTCTTCCAGATTTGCTTCCAATCTGCTGAATGATCAGTGAGCCACATGACCCACACTCATTGCCCTAGCAGACAGGTAGGTGTAGATGCAACCCGAATAGGCTAAGAGAGTCTCTCATGCATGGATTTTGGAGTTCACAACTCGTCTCTCTTTCATGTTGAGATAGCAACGTCGTGTGGACCTAGGATTGGGTTAGGCGTGAGCAAGACGTTCAAAGGGTGAAGGAACTGGAGGGCAGAGGAGAAAGATGAGGAGAAAAAGAAGGGAAAAGAGGAGACAGTATCTGACAGGTGGTCATCTTAGTTCCCATCTTACCAGTTTTTGATTCCCCTGCCCTTGTGAGAATCAGCTAAAATTCCTGTCCTGAAGTTCTATGAAAACTCTAAGTCCTTACAGTAAATTTCCCACTTTACTTAGATTAGTTTTAGTAGTTTTCTGTTCCTAGCGATAAACACCAAGACATTCACAAGACACAAGGCTGCCTGCCCACTCAGTAGCATCAGTCTTTTCTTACCAGATCTCTGGAACCAGCTTCTCTTTTTTCACAGGCCAGTGACAGAAGGATGGACACACCTCCACTGCTGTCTGGTCCCCTCGGGAACACTGTCACAGTTACCAGAGAGATTATGGGGAGAATTACATAATGTATCAATCTGGATGGAAACTTTAGAAACCAGATATTGCAAATTTTTCATTATGCAGAGAAGGGAACTAAAGTCCAGCTAAACATAGTCGTTTTCCAAAGATCAAATAGCACATTAGTCCCAGAGACAGAACTCTTTCAAATTATTCTCTCAGTGCAACTTTTCTCCCACAGAAGTCTGGGTAGAACATTGCACTGTCAATATACTTGTAACAACTACCCTCCTTTGTAGTTTGCTCTTAACATTTGATAATAAATGATAGAAGTAAAACCAAAGATCTGTGATGGGTATTGTTAAGAAGTAAATGGAAAGTTTGTAAAACTAAATCAGAGAAACTGATCTGATTTCCATATGGTTCTAAGAGAGTAACTTACAGATTGGTATTAGTTAGTATGGAGTTGAGGATTTCCCTGAGAACAGAGTAGACAAGTGTTATTGAACCAGCCTAGTCTCACTGTAGTTCCTTTGTAAGTACTTTTCTGTAGGTTTTTTTTTTAGTCATGTTATATAAATACATATATTTATATATATATATTTGGTCATAGAAGTCAAGTCGATTTTTGGTATTAGAGGAGTACAGCCCAAAGCAAGTTGGACGAATTTATGTGACATTTCTGGAAAATGAGATATTGGGACTATATTTACAAATAAATATGAACACTGCTGCCCTCTCTCTCCATACCCTTTGGAGCACATCGTTTCTGAGACATCACTGCAGCCCTGGCCAAGGAGCCTATCTACATATGTCATCTAAGTTTCCAGCCCTTGAAGGTCTCAGTGTGGAGGTACTTGGAAATGCCCTCTCCCCACCCATGTCTTGTATCGCCTGAGCTCCCCTCCAAGGAGCACCACTAAAACCCATCTTACAAATACTGTTTGGGAAACACCTCCTTCATCTTCCTGCAGCTCCCTCTCTACACAGAAGGGAGATCACTCACATCTAAGACAGACATAATACCATCCTTATTAGACTTTTTTATTAGTCTTATGCTCCAAACAACTTTCTTATTCTTCCTCTACTAAGCATAATCTCATTCATCTGTTCACTGAGCAAACTAATTCTAAATCCATTGGTAAAAAAAAGACAAAGACTCCTACCATTGTGGAGTTTGCATGCTGATGGGGGTGGGGATAGAAAATAAGCAGTAAAACAATCAATATATGTTAAACATGTTACAGTTTAACATATTCCTTTATTTAACATGATAAGTATTTTAATTTAACATGTTTATTTGACACACTGATATATATTTCAGGAGAAAATAGGGCATGATAGAAGGGCATGGTGGGTAGAGGGGTTACAGCATCAAGAAGTAATACTGGGACAGACGCTTGAAAGAAGTGAAAAAAACATGACTGGGGAAAAGTGTCCAAGACACAAACAATAGCCAAGGCAAAGGCCCTGCGCAGGAGTGTGTAAATCAAATTCTGAGTATGCAGCTCAAGCTTACAGTATGCTCAAAAGTCTCAATTCCAGCCTAGGCTCAGACTGAAGTCCCTGCTAGAATGGTTGATTTCTTTGCATTTCTGTCCCCACACATCAGCCCTGCAGATATTTTTCCTTGGCCAATTGCTCCTTGTTAGGCTTTGCCAGTGGTGGGTGCCTGGAGGCCTGGAGGAAGAGAGACTTGCTCATTCTAGTCTATTCCCATTTTCTGTCAGCATCACCTAAGGCCCTTCACCTTGGAAATAGCCTTGAGGGTCAGTTACCAGCTTTTACCCAACTCCCCAATCCAGCCTCATCAGGTCCCTCAGAATACCAGTTCCAAAAGGCAGCCTCACCTGAGACCCAGGCTCCTCTTCCATAGACACTGCTCTTCCCTGTGTTTCTAGAGCCCTAAAAGGCCTGAGCTGCTTCCTGCAGCTATCTCTCCGTGGCCTCAGAGTTCCCTTTGCCTTTTCAGCTGTCCATCACCCATGTAACCAATTCCCAACACAACTCTTTTTACTAAAATAACTAGTGTGGTTTCTTTTTCTGAATTGGAACTTAACTGGCAAGGAAGCTAAAATGTAACTTTACTGAAGTCACAAACCATGTTTTCTTCATCTCTCACTCCAAGCACTTAGCTCAAAACCTAGCATGTGGTAGTGCTCAGTCAAGATTTGTTGAATGAATAATGAACAAATATCATCTATTCACTGGCAAAGTAAATTGAGACCAATGCCTGGGCAAATAACACCCGACCGCAGCTTCCCAGTAAGTGCTCAGAAAACTGCTTTGGTTTCCTTGCCCG